TATCATCCACACATAGTGATCTAAGATTTCAATTCTTCCATGTTTCAGCAGTAGCATATTGTTCCATGGAGCTAAGGCCAAAAAGATGGAAGAAACAAGTGTTTCCACGACTCTACCATCCGGCCAATTCTGTTCCACTTCATCCCCTTTTCATGGGCACATATCTTTACGGCTAAGGAATGGGGAATCTTTCTCCTGTTACATGAATCAAATGTTTCATTTCATCCGGGAAAAGCCATCTCTTTCTCAACAATGTCTTTGTCATTTGATCCAATAGCGTTCCGTTAGATAGGAACAGATTTGATAAATACTGATAACTCTCGGATAGAGTATTAGAACGGAAAGATCCATTAGATAATGAACTATTGGTTCTAAACCATCTCTGGCGATGAATCAACAATTCGAAGTGCTTTTCTTGCGTATTCTTGATGAACCAGCGTTTATATATAGATGTAGGAGGGTTTGTTTGGGAAGCAATAAGCCCCTTTGACATCTCTTCATCTGCAAAGAATTCTCGACGTGAAAACACAGAGACAGAGGGCTGATCTTTGAATAGGGAAAAGAATGGATCCGCAGGGTCCCAAATGAATTGGCTTGTTCGAAAAAAGCCTTGTTCTTTGGAAGATCTATCTCGTGTCTGGTACTGCATGGTTCCACTCTGCAAGAACTCCGAATCATTCTCTTGAAGCTCATCCTCTTTATGATAAATGATCCATTTGCCCCGAAATGACCCAGTCCAATAGGGAAATCCCAATTCCGTGGACCTTTCGATACAATCAAATAGATTGCCACAAGGGCGCCATATTCTAGGAGCCCAAACTATGTGATTGAAGAAATCCTCCTCTATCTGTTGCGGATCAAGGGCCCCTTCCCCTTCTTCAAACTCCGATTCGTATTTTTCATATAGAAATCTCTGATCAACGATAGAACAAGATCCATTTTGCATCATATCTAACTGATTCCTTGGTTCGGACCGAAGAAGTAATGTCACTCGATTATTATCAAACTGACTGCAATATTTTTCTGTCCGTGAGGATCCCGCCAGAGCGCCTTCTACTTCTAATAGTAATAAAAGTAATAGGCCACGAACTAGATCAGAATCATTCTCAACGAATCCATAAGAAGTGATCCAATCTTTTTCATCGTGTCTAGATGAAGACCAAAGATCTTGAGCGACCGATCCGGCAGAACAACTCAAAAGATAAAGAAGTATCGTGAATTTCTTCATGCTCGTTCCAAGTTCGAAGTACCATTTGTACAAATAAGAATCCCCTCCCTTACATGATTTCTTCTTCATATAGATAGATATAGGATCTATGGGGCAATTACTTAGAAGTACATTTTGTGTAACAGCCCTTCCTATCTGATAGAAAAGGATCCCATGATCCTGAACCGATCTTATCTGGGATCGAAAATCCCAAGTTTTTCTATGAAGAGCTGATCTAATCGTATTAGTTTCTAAAATGGATTTATTACGTGTAATACTAATTGATAGGGCCTCATTGATAAGTGCTACAAGATCTCGCGCATTGGAACCCATGGTTATGGACCCGAATCCGTTAGTATGGAACATCTTCTTTTCCAAGTGAAATCCCCTAGTATATGAAAGAATGAAAAAGTGCTTTCGTTGTTGTGGAAGAAGAAGCCTTCGTATCTTAATGCATGTATTTAATTTATTCGGAGCTATTAGAGCGGGATCCACTTTTTGGGGAATATGAGTCGAAGCAATAACAAGAATCTTTCCAGTGGAACATCTTTCACAATCCCTGGAGAGATAGTTCTCTAATAGACCGAGGGATAAGTAATTCGACTCATTCACATGCAGACCATGAATGTTTGGAATCGATATTATACAAGGAGATATTGCTTTTGCTTATTCGAATTGAAGGGTGATATCAAATCGGTCTATTTTTGACGTCATATACATAGTTAGCACATTCGTCATAGTTAGCAGCTCCGTATCAATATCAAGGTCATCATCACTATCATCAATATCATCACTATCACCAATATCATCACTATCATTAATATCAATATCGTCACTATCATCAATATCGATATCATCAATAAGATAACCTTTAGGCTTGTCATCCATGAACTTGTTCGAAAATACCGTAATGAAAGGAACATAGGAGTTTGTCGCTAGGTATTTGACCAAACAGGATCGTCCAGTTCCTATAGAACCTATCACTAAAATACCTTTAGAAGGGGATAGGGCTAAGCGGAGCGAAAAGGGTTTTCCATGAGGAGATGGGGAATGAAAACTATTAGCCCCACACGAGGTTTGTGAATAAGTGATTTTCTGATAATGAGCAAGGAATATCCATCTTTCTACTAAACAAGATCTATTGAACTCATAATTCATTAGATCCTTTTGATGAATGTAAACTAAGTATCGTAAGGAAATTGATCCCGGTTGTTCAGTCATTTGATAACCAGAGTCATTCTTTGATAAATGATCACTATGAGTCAAACTTAATAGAATTTTAACAATCCTTTTTTCTGTCGTTACGGTGGAGAACTGAACCAAGAATTCTCTTTCTTCATCATCAATCGAATCACTGTTCGCGACCCAAAATTCTACTTTCTCATCAATCCAATCACCGAGAATTCTACTTTTTTTTATCAATGAATAGATCTCTTTACTTGTACGACTTAGATGTCTCGTATTTCTCGAAAAAATGATTCGATTGATGGGATTTGGTATGATACTTACAAGATCGATGAGATTGATCTTCCAATATTTATTCTTGGAATGTATTGATTTGACCTCATAAGCGGGACCACCACCCAATAGCATGTTGCCACCAGAAGCAGAACCCCGTATTTCTTCCAAAGAATCTCCTAATTATTCTAGAACAACTAGAAAGAGATTCTTTAACCAGAAAGGATTCAGTTCAGATGTAGGATACCTTTCCAGAAGTTTTCGAAATTCCATCATGTATGATGGAATCATCAAAGATTTGATCTTTTCTAACTCTGTCTGTAACTCACTAGAGGCTCGGGAAACAAAGAGAAGATGTATACGAACGAGATATCCAGCAACAAGAAGAAGGAAAAAGATGGAATAGAGGAACTCCCGAGCATTTGTTGATCTCAGATGTGCCCATATCAATGGAATGGGTGACTCATTATTTCGATGAATCATTTCTTCGGACAGAAGAAGATTCTATAAAAATTGACTTGAAATCTCACTTATCGGAGTCCATTGTGAAAGAATCTTCTGAGGAATTGGCTGTGATATATCTGATCCATGCATCATATCATGAAAAATGGATACAAGTTTTTAACTACTACTCAGTATCGGCAATGGGTCTGAAATAGTATCTAAAAAGGTGAAATTGAGATATTTGCACCCTGTCGAAGTAAGGAACCATGGCATATATGTTTGGAACAGATTCCATTTTGAGAGATTTGAAAAAGCACTATCTCGTTGAAAGGTTCTATACATCTGCCCTTTCTCAACGCATTTCTTTAGACAAGGACTCCATTTTTTCCTCTTTCCGGATGGTAAATACTTCTCAGAACAAGGAGTGTGAATCAAACCCATGTTTGAATTGAAACTGAGATACTGATGCAAGTTATTCCATTTTGAATCTGATAGATTCATATCTGAAAGAGGCTGACAATAAGTTTTTTCCAAATTGACTATTGTTGCTCTGTTAGAGGTGTTGCAGAAATGTCAGCGATCGAGTAAATAGCTCCACGAACGAATGGATCGGATCGAATTGGAAAATGGAAAGATTTGTACAATTTGGAAAAGTTATACATTTCATCAACACTTTGTGGGAAATCGTTAGGTATGAAGATGTCAGATACCTGTGACTCGATTGGTGAAATAGTCTCTCTCTCCAAAAAAAGATATCTTTTTCTACCGACGCACAAAGAAAATATTTTGTTGCGAATGGACAAGATATTGAGGAATTGTTTATATGTAAGATCATAATTATTGATACGGGTCTTTTCCACATCAAAGGGGAATCTTTTGTTACAATAGAACCAGAAGTGATGTGGATCATTCAAGAATCGAAGTTGATTTTCTTTAGAAAAAGAAGATATCAATGAACTTCTATGAAATGGTTTCACGGGATTCAGCCAATTGTCTCGATCGTGGGATATCATTGATAAATAGGAATCCGTGTTATCAATGGATTTACTGCGATTCTTTCTAGTATGGAATGAGTCAATCACCCGCTTTGGTATCTTTTTGAACAAAAATGGTAATATTGTTCCTCCATTGATCAAGAATTTTGGTCTTTGGGAAGTATCATGATCATCCAATAAGAAGGGTTTCAATTTCTTCAAATGAATGATTTGAACACCTATGGATTCTAACAACTGATTACAGAGTTGATTATTCGGACCTTTCAATTCATAGATATGGATCTCGGACCTATGAATGGTGATATTCCTGATACTCACAAAGAAAAAAGGAAGTGACTTGGACAAAAAGAAACGAAGTGACTTAGACAAATCTTCTTTGTCGATAGCCTTGGACCAATCAATCGAATATTAATTAATGCGTAATCGATCGAAAACTACTTGCAATACTCGAAAAGGATTCTTCTGTTCAGAAACGAAATGTTCCAAATGTTCCTGGAAATTCTTGCTCCCATTGGACCATTTGTATCTATATGCATATTTGTATCTATATGCATCAGGATCCCGATTCATGGATCTCTCAGTTCCAGAAATAAGAGGATCAAACCATTTCTTCTGACTCTTTTTCAAA